GCATCAGTTTCGATAGATTCTCTGGATAGCCGAAGATTGATTGACCGACTCCTTGGAATGTGGGGAAGGGTTGAAGTCCGGGGGCCCACGGACGGATACCTGGATCCACTGACCTCGGGCAGGTCTTTCAATCCACCTGGATTTCAGGTGGGGAGAAGGGAGGCAATTTGGGTCGACACAAGTAGCTTCCTGGACCCAAAACCCCATGGATACACGGACACGGACACTCACACGGACACTGACACGAACACTCATGGACTCTGACACGAACCGAAGGTTCGTGTCAGATAATAGGAAGGGAGGTTAGGTTAGGTTGGTTGGTTAGGTTGGTTGGTTAGGTTAGGTTTAGGTTGGTTGGTTAGGTTGGTTGGTTAGGTTGGTTGGTTACGTTGGTTGGTTAGGTTGGTTGGTTAGGTTAGTTGGTTAGGTTGGTTGGTTAGGTTTAGGTTGGTTGGTTATGTTGGTTAGGTTGGTTGGTTAGGTTGGTTGCTTTGGTTGGTTAGGTTAGGTTGGTTAGGTTAGGTTGGTTAGGTTGGTTGGTTAGGTTGGTTGGTTAGGTTAGGTTGGTTGGTTAGGTTAGGTTAGGTTGGTTGGTTAGGTTAGGTTGCTTAGGTTGGTTGGTTAGGTTAGGTTGGTTAGGTTAGGTTGGTTAGGTTAGGTTAGGTTAGGTTGGTTAGGTTAGGTTGGTTAGGTTGGTTGGTTAGGTCGGTTAGGTTGGTTGGTTGGTTAGGTTAAGTTGGTTAGGTTGCTTAGGTTGGTTGGTTAGGTTGGTTGGTTAGGTTGGTTAGGTTGGTTGGTTAGGTTAGGTTGGTTAGGTTAGGTTGGTTAGTTGGATAGGTTGGTTAGGTTGGTTGGTTGGTTGGTTAGATTGGTTGGTTATGTTGGTTAGGTTGGTCGGTTAGGTTGCTTAGGTTGGTTGCTTAGGTTGGTTGGTTAGGTTGGATAGGTTAGGTTGGATAGGTTGGTTGGTTAGGTTGGTTGGTTAGGTTAGGTTGGTTAGGTAAGGTTAGGTTAGGTTGGTTGCTTAGGTTGGTTGGTTGGTTAGGTAAGGTTAGGTTATCCAACCTAGGCTGGTTGGCTAGGTTAGGTTGCTTAGGTTGGTTGGTTGGTTAGGTTGGTTAGGTTTGGTTGGTTAGGTTGGCTAGGTTAGGTTGCTTAAGTTGGTTGGTTGGTTAGGTTGGTTAGGTTAGGTTGGTTGGTTGGATAGGTTGGTTGGTTAGGTTGGTTGGTTAGGTTAGGTTGGTTAGGTTGGTTGGTTAGGTAAGGTTAGGTTATCCAACCTAGGCTGGTTGGTTGGTTAGGTTGCTTGGTTACGTTGGTTAGGTTGGTCGGTTACGTTGGTTAGGTTGGTCGGTTAAGTTGCTTAGGTTGGTTAGGTTGGTTGGTTAGGTTGGTTGGTTAGGTTAGGTTGGTTAGTTAGGTTAGGTTGGTTACTTAGGTTAGGTTGGTTAGGTTGGTTGGTTAGGTTGCTTAAGTTGGTTGGTTGGTTAGGTAAGGTTAGGTTAGGTTAGTTAGATTAGTTAGGTTGCTTAGGTTGGTTGGATAGGTTGGTTGGTTAGGTTGGTTGGTTGGTTAGGTTAGGTTGGTTGGTTAGGTTGCTTAGGTTGGTTAGGTTAGGTTGGTTGGTTAGGTTGGTTGGTTACGTTGGTGTAACACTGTAATTAGCCCGTCCTCCAAAAATGGGGCGGTAAATGTAAGAAGACAAATAATTGCAATTATGTACTATTCAAAGCAGTTAGGATATAAAGTTAATTATATATATATATATATATGTCGTACCTAGTAGCCAGAACGCACTTCTCAGCCTACTATGCAAGGCCTAATTTGCCTAATAAGCCAAGTTTTCCTGAATTAATATATTTTCTATAATTTTTTTCTTATGAAATGATAAAGCTACCCATTTCATTATGTATGAGGTCAATTTTTTTTACTGGAGTTAAAATTAACGTAGATATATGACCGAACCTAACCAACCCTACCTAACCTAACCTAACCTATCTTTATAGGTTAGGTTAGGTTAGGTAGCCGAAAACGTTAGGTTAGGTTAGGTTAGGTAGGTTAGGTAGTCGAAAAACAATTAATTCATGAAAACTTGGCTTATTAGACAAATTGGGCCTTGCATATTAGGCTGAGAAGTGCATTCTGGCTATTAGGTACGACATATATATATATATATATATATATATATATATATATATATATATATATATATATATATATATATATATATATATATATATAAATATATATATATATAAATATAAATAAATTATATAAATATATAAAGTTAGGATAGAAATAAGTAGAAAATAAGAAATCCTCCTGTAGGAGGATCAGTTTCGATAGATTCTCTGGATAGCCGAAGATTGATAAAACTGCTTTGATTGATTGATTGATTGATAACAAAGTTAGTAGGATTTCTACTTATTTTCACTTAGTACTGTAATCGTACTGTCAAATATATTGTAAATATTTGAGTTTACCTGAAAAACTGAATAGAAAACCACAACCTCACCTAACCATCTTAGTTTTTGAAGATAATAATTGTATTGCTTTTTAATTACAATTAGTGCTTAACCTATAGCTGTATTGATATTACAGTTTTATAAAACTAATGAAACAAAACTAAAATATATCAATAAATTGTAAAGTAACTCAGGATATTTTAAAATTTTGTGTAAAATCTATATTGTTTAATAAACCTGGAAAAGAAATTCCTGATATTTAAAACTCGTGTATAGCAAATTGAAGTTGAAGTCTTCATCCAAAAATTCTGAGTGTCTTAACAGAAAACGAGAGGAATTAAGTCGGGAGAGGCGGTTGGGTAAATGTAACAGCCCATAAGTACAAGTTTGCACTGTTTATGACAGTAAGAAAGTGAACTTATTACTCTTAGTATTAAATCGTAATGTCAATTTGGAGGATGGGTTGCAATTTTGACGTGTTGATCTGGATGTGCCGAGGTTTCGTTGAGCAGTTCCACCTCGGGGTTGTGTTTGCTGAGTTCTATCTCTAGTAAGTATCGGTTGTTCAAAAAGTGGCGGGTGTTGATCTGAATTATCATCAGCCCGATTATTTGCGACGGTAAAGTTGTTGTTGTTGTGTTTCATTCTGTTGTGACCTGATTCTTGTGTTTCATTCTGTTGTGACCTGATTCTTGTGTTTCATTCTGTTGTGACCTGCTTCTTGTGTTTCCGGCCGATATTGAGTCCCTTCTAGACCTCTGAACACCATTTTCCCACTCAGTACCGGTGGAGAGTTAAATGTTGTCTACGGAGCAGTCATTATCCGAGGAATTTTCTCCCTCGATGTACACTGAATCATCCGAGAACGAGCTGGAATCGGTGGAGTCCTCGTGGGGATGCTGGGAGTGTACCCCTCGAGCCTGTGTTGATGTGGATAGTTGGTGAGGGGTTGGGGGCCGAGATGGGGTATGAAAGATCTTGATAATCTTGCCATGGGAGGTTGTTCCAGTGTTAACTTCCTGGGGTGTAACAGAGGTAGGGGGTGGATCTGAGGCTGGGAGTGGTGGCGTCTGTGTGGACTGATTGTCGAGGTGGAAGGCTCCTGCAGGATTGTGGGATGGGGAAGGAAGGGTTGGCTGCTCTGTTAAGGCTTCAGTAGGAAGTAAGTCTGCAGGTATAGACACCAGAGGGAGGGTATTGAGCCGTAGAAGGCTGTTTATTGTTTTTATGAACTGGCCAGGGTCGTTCTGGGCGACCCTGTCTGCGATCGCAATCAATTCTTGGACTGGAGTTTTTTAGCAGTTGTCATTGTATTAGCCTGCCTGGTCTCCCCCCCCCCCATGTTTGGGATTGCACTTGGTCACCATTTGGTGGTAGTGGGTGTACATTGGGGTCGGGTTCCTGGTGTGGAAGGTTTGTGTCCCCATGTTTGGTGGTGGTATAGTTTGTGTGGGTGTGGTGACCTGCCTTGCCTGGTCCAGAATCCTCTGGATTTCCTCTTTCCTTTTGGGGCAGTGAATAGCCACTGCCTTGTGATTCCCACTGCATTGGGCACATTTCAGGATGGTTTCAGTGCATGTAATGAAGCAGTGAGGTCCTGCACATTTGCTGCATGTTTCGGCATTTGCCTTGCATTGAGGAGGTAGGTGGCCAAACTCGAAGCACTTGAAGCATTGTTTGACTTCAACGTACCTCTCACTGCTATTCCGGTCTGTACTAACAACAGTATTTCCAGCACTAAGTTAACCCTCATTCCAGGAACGATTGAGGACCACAGGGCAAACAACACTACAAACTAGGCAGGACAGAGCTGTTCTCATCGAAGTCTTTAAAATATTGAACAATTTGGAGATGTTGATCCAGAAAACTTCTTGAAAAGGTCAAATGTAACACAAAGAAGAAGCATCGGTTTCAACCGTTCATCTCTAGGACTGAACAGATGTTTTTTTTTTCACCCACAGGGTTATTAATCCACGGAACCGCCTACCCGCCGAAGCCGTGAATGCCAAAACTCTGCTGAACTTTAAAATCCAGCTTGAAAAAATTCTCAGGACAAATGGGGGAACTTTTCACAAGCCCCTAGCTTTCTCTTCTCGTCGACGCCACTAGATTGAAAGTGGCCCTCAGGTAAATTCAGGTAAACCTGCCAAATGCAGTAGTTTCCAGCTTAATTCAATCAATTACTTCGTTACACTCTAAAGGATGCATTGTACACAGAGTACTCATTTCTAAACATATAATTCTTAATTCTTCTGCGGAATATAGATTCTATATGAGTCAGACAAATTGTTGTGGACTTTAATCATGCATAAAGTCAGGCGATGGCCAAAGGGGGATTTTGATATTCCTTACCAGCATCCTCTCCCTGAAAATAGTAATCCAAAATATCGCTAATCCGATTACATGCAAATTTTCACAAGAAATTTTTCTTTCGGAATAATGTGATTTTTTTTATGGTAGTCGATGCTGAAGTATGAAATATGATGGGCACAAAAAAAATTAAAAATTCTCAAGGAATCTTGTATAAAAAGACCATAATTATGTTTTTTATTGATGAGGACAAACAATAATTATGAAAAGAAGGCGCCAACCGGGAAGTATATGTAGCACCATCTAGATCATGAAAAGTATATACATAATTTATACATATTTAAGAACGGGTCCAGAATAAAAAATACAATATTTAGAACCTGCTCGAGTTCGGTAATTCGTGAAGAATCAGCTATCTAGAAAAGTTGATGAGAATCATCTTAGGAAGATTGCTAGGACACTAGTGACAGAAAGATCCTGGTCATGGAACGTTGCTAGGATATATGTCGGAATATTCCTAGGACACCAGAATGAAAGAGGTTGCTATTGGACACGGGTATCAGGAAGATTGCTAGGACAACGGTGTAAAGAACATTGCTAGGACAACGGTGTTAAGAATATTGCTATGACACAGGTGGTAGAAAGATTGCTGTGACGCCAGTGTCAGGAAAGTTGCCGGGGCACCAGTTTGACGAAGGCTGCTAGAAATCCTGTTTCAGAATGCCTGCTAGAAGATCAGACAGGTAAGCACACGAGAAAACCTCATATCGCACCAACTAATAGATACCAATATCAGCACATCCGCGGAATATTTCTTGGTTGCCACAGCCTAGCGCCTCCGTGCCGTTACCACAGTCACCCCAGCTGTTTCCTGAAAGAGTAACCCTTCATCAGATATAGGCTCTTATTAATCATTTTTCATATGTAAATTAAAAGCGTACTTAAAACTCAATTTTTGTGTGGCTCTGATTGAAACTTAACAGTCGAAATTCGTTAACATGCTTTTATTTTTCAATGTGCTTTTTTTCCGCATATTTTGATCAATGTTTTTATAATCGTTATTGGATGTATAGCCATTTATAAATACGAATTTGAATTATTCACAAGCTCAGCTGTGCTTATTGCTTTCACTAATTAAACTTGAAATAATTTTTCTACACTTCAATTCTCAATAATCTATGTTCTAGTTTTTGTGCAAATAGATCATATTAAGATGAGTCAAACTAACTTACACATTCAGGCATTATTAAATATATTCCATCCTCATGTCTTGGAGGTTACATAATTAATTCTGATGAAATGTTCGTTGACAAAAATCATCACCTGGATGATACGATTAAATGTGATTATTAGATTATTAGGTGTCAATTTGCCTATCAATTCATCTTTCGAAAACGATAGTACCTTCATCAACAGTGAGGGAATGTGCTATAGACGGACTGAAAAATTTGTCCACCGAAAAAAATGTTATCTTTTGTGATATTAGTAAAATGAAGGGCTTAACAAAACCTGTAATAAGGTAACCTAGCTTTTCTAAGGCCTAAATTAGCAATCTTATTCATAATGTTCACTGTCATTGGCCTACTGTAGTAAATATATGTGCTAGGACAGATTAGGTTTGGTTGTTTCCATTTTTCTCGAGCCTTCTACATAAGCAATGGCTCAAAATGTGAACATTTTTAATGCCACATTCTACACATTGTACATATTATAATTATGAATGATATACTAATGTATGAAAGTTTGTCTTTGGTTACATAAACGTTATAAATAACAATGATGTAGAACGACTTTCGACAGCCAGTTTTATAACTTTTGGAGTGCAATTTGAAATAACATTTCTCTTAATGCTATAAATTTCAGAATAATCTACTTGTATATTGTTTGTCATTAAAATCGACATGCTTCCATTATCATAGTGTGAATCTACCGTGAACCAATGAGCTACATACATAGCCATAATATATTTCATATAGACTGACTTTCTTTATTTAGGAGAATACATTAGCTTTAAAAAAAAAATATGTATGGCTAGCCTACAGATTTCATATTTTTTCGCTGAGTATCCTATATATAATATATTAATAATATAAGAGGGGAATAGTTACAACTTAATTAATACTGGTAAAGAATAACGTTAGGTGCATTCTTACAAGACCTCTAAAAGGCAGCATCTTTAGGCCGAGTCAAAAATCTACCAGGAAGATTGAGAAAAATATATTAAGATTTTGCACTGAAGAGATATTAGAAAATGCTGTCAGTACTACACAAACACCTACGTCAAGAAGATATAGTTTAACATGGTGAAGTAAAACGACGCTAACATTTTGATAATAACTCTACAGATATTTGGTAATAACGACAAATTGTGTAGGTTATAGGCTAATGTTTCATTGGCGGTTATAGGCTTATGTTTCAGGACATGAGTTGGCAACTGTAGGTTGTGTGGTGTTATTATGCTGCCTGTTGTGGTGAATGTGGTGACGTTACCTGTGTGGTAGTGCCACTGTGGTGACGTTACCTGTGTGGTAGTGCCCCTGTGGTGACGTTACCTGTGTGGTAGTGCCTCTGTGGTGACGTTACCTGTGTGGTAGTGCCCCTGTGGTGACGTTACCTGTGTGGTAGTGCCTCTGTGGTGATGTTACCTGTGTGGTAGTGCCCCTGTGGTGATGTTACCTGTGTGGTAGTGCCTCTGTGGTGATGTTACCTGTGTGGTAGTGCCTCTGTGGTGATGTTACCTGTGTGGTAGTGCCCCTGTGGTGATGTTACCTGTGTGGTAGTGCCACTGTGGTGACGTTACCTGTGTGGTAGTGCCACTGTGGTGACGTTACCTGTGTGGTAGTGCCACTGTGGTGACGTTACCTGTGTGGTAGTGCCTCTGTGGTGACGTTACCTGTGTGGTAGTGCCACTGTGGTGACGTTACCTGTGTGGTAGTGCCTCTGTGGTGATGTTACCTGTGTGGTAGTGCCCCTGTGGTGATGTTACCTGTGTGGTAGTGCCCCTGTGGTGACGTTACCTGTGTGGTAGTGCCTCTGTGGTGATGTTACCTGTGTGGTAGTGCCCCTGTGGTGACGTTACCTGTGTGGTAGTGCCTCTGTGGTGATGTTACCTGTGTGGTAGTGCCCCTGTGGTGATGTTACCTGTGTGGTAGTGCCCCTGTGGTGACGTTACCTGTGTGGTAGTGCCACTGTAGTGATGTTACCTGTGTGGTAATGCTACTGTAGTGACGTTACCTGTGTGGTAGTGCTACTGTAGTGACGTTACCTGTGTGGTAGTGCCCCTGTGGTGATGTTACCTGTGTGGTAGTGCCCCTGTGGTGACGTTACCTGTGTGGTAGTGCCACTGTAGTGACGTTACCTGTGTGGTAGTGCCACTGTGGTGACGTTACCTGTGTGGTAGTGCCTCTGTGGTGATGTTACCTGTGTGGTAGTGCCCCTGTGGTGATGTTAGCTGTGTGGTAGTGCCCCTGTGGTGACGTTACCTGTGTGGTAGTGCTACTGTAGTGACGTTACCTGTGTGGTAGTGCTACTGTAGTGACGTTACCTGTGTGGTAGTGCTACTGTAGTGACGTTACCTGTGTGGTAGTGCCACTGTGGTGACGTTACCTGTGTGGTAGTGCCCCTGTGGTGACGTTACCTGTGTGGTAGTGCCACTGTGGTGACGTTACCTGTGTGGTAGTGCTACTGTAGTGACGTTACCTGTGTGGTAGTGCCCCTGTGGTGACGTTACCTGTGTGGTAGTGCCCCTGTGGTGACGTTACCTGTGTGGTAGTGCCACTGTGGTGACGTTACCTGTGTGGTAGTGCCACTGTGGTGACGTTACCTGTGTGGTAGTGCCACTGTGGTGACGTTACCTGTGTGGTAGTGCCCCTGTGGTGACGTTACCTGTGTGGTAGTGCCACTGTGGTGACGTTACCTGTGTGGTAGTGCCCCTGTGGTGACGTTACCTGTGTGGTAGTGCCCCTGTGGTGACGTTACCTGTGTGGTAGTGCCCCTGTGGTGACGTTACCTGTGTGGTAGTGCCCCTGTGGTGACGTTACCTGTGTGGTAGTGCCACTGTGGTGACGTTACCTGTGTGGTAGTGCCCCTGTGGTGACGTTACATGTGTGGTAGTGCCACTGTGGTGACGTTACCTGTGTGGTAGTGCCACTGGAGAACACACTGGGTGCACAACACATCCTCTGGCAGCCTCACGGTGTTGTAGTGCCACTCCGGGTCCTATAATAAAAATAAATTATTTAACAATTGAAAATATTTACAAATTCCTTAATTCATATATATAATATAATAGTTAAAATATTTATACATACAATTTGTCTTTTAGGTCTTTATGTAGGCTTAGGCTTATGTAAGTCCCTCTTCCCCCCTACTGACCATCCACAGGATGCAACCCACAATAGTTGCATAGCTCCCGGGTACCTATTTACTTGAAGGTAAATAACGACATCAGGTGAAAGAAAACATTCCGGACCATTTCTGTCCTACACTACAAGGAGCCGAGGGTATTAGATTTTGGGCCGGGGACGTAGCCCACTGTACTACACGAAGAACTGTGTTACTGGGACACGATAAAGCAACCCATTGTCCTGTTTAGATAGTGGTTGTTGTAACTATGTCCACCGAAGATTGCCGTTCTAAGCAGTTAGATAGTAGAACTTTGTACTTTTCACTTTATTCAATGGGACAAAAAATACAGCTAAAAAACGAGCTTAAATATTCCTAGGCCTAATACAGCACACATATGTTCTATATTAGGCCTCAGATATCGTGCATTAGGCCTAGGAAGGATAGGTAATGTTAGTTTAGTGTGTCTTTGCAACATAAATAGAAAATAGTTTTCCGGTTTGTCCAACTCAATAGTGCCGATTGCTACTTTCTAATTTCGTTGTACGTCGGTATATGTGCTATCGTCCTCAGCGTTACTATCAGTACTACCACCACTGGAGGACGGGCTGTGGTATAACCCAGTGCCAACACCAGTACCACCACCACTGGAGGACGGGCTGTGGTATAACCCAGTGCCAACACCAGTACCACCACCACTGGAGGACGGGCTGTGGTATAACCCAGTGCCAACACCAGTACCACCACCACTGGAGGACGGGCTGTGGTATAACCCAGTGCCAACACCAATACTACCACCACTGGAGGACGGGCTGTGGTATAACCCAGTGCCAACACCAGTACCACCACCACTGGAGGACGGGCTGTGGTATAACCCAGTGCCAACACCAATACTACCACCACTGGAGGACGGGCTGTGGTATAACCCAGTGCCAACACCAATACTACCACCACTGGAGGACGGGCTGTGGTATAACCCAGTGCCAACACCAGTACCACCACCACTGGAGGACGGGCTGTGGTATAACCCAGTGCCAACACCAATACTACCACCACTGGAGGACGGGCTGTGGTATAACCCAGTGCCAACACCAATACTACCACCACTGGAGGACGGGCTGTGGTATAACCCAGTGCCAACACCAGTACTACCACCACTGGAGGACGGGCTGTGGTATAACCCAGTGCCAACACCAGTACTACCACCACTGGAGGACGGGCTGTGGTATAACCCAGTGTCCACACCAGTACTACCACCACTGGAAGACGGGCTGTGGTATAACCCAGTGCCAACACCAGTACCACCACCACTGGAGGACGGGCTGTGGTATAACCCAGTGCCAACACCAGTACCACCACCACTGGAGGACGGGCTGTGGTATAACCCAGTGCCAACACCAATACTACCACCACTGGAGGACGGGCTGTGGTATAACCCAGTGCCAACACCAGTACTACCACCACTGGAGGACGGGCTGTGGTATAACCCAGTGTCCACACCAGTACTACCACCACTGGAGGACGGGCTGTGGTATAACCCAGTGCCAACACCAATACTACCACCACTGGAGGACGGGCTGTGGTATAACCCAGTGCCAACACCAATACTACCACCACTGGAGGACGGGCTATGGTATAACCCAGTGCCAACACCAGTACCACCACCACTGGAGGACGGGCTGTGGTATAACCCAGTGCCAACACCAATACTACCACCACTGGAGGACGGGCTGTGGTATAACCCAGTGCCAACACCAATACTACCACCACTGGAGGACGGGCTGTGGTATAACCCAGTGCCAACACCAGTACTACCACCACTGGAGGACGGGCTGTGGTATAACCCAGTGCCAACACCAGTACTACCACCACTGGAGGACGGGCTGTGGTATAACCCAGTGTCCACACCAGTACTACCACCACTGGAAGACGGGCTGTGGTATAACCCAGTGCCAACACCAGTACCACCACCACTGGAGGACGGGCTGTGGTATAACCCAGTGCCAACACCAGTACCACCACCACTGGAGGACGGGCTGTGGTATAACCCAGTGCCAACACCAGTACCACCACCACTGGAAGACGGGCTGTGGTATAACCCAGTGCCAACACCAGTACCACCACCACTGGAGGACGGGCTGTGGTATAACCCAGTGCCAACACCAGTACCACCACCACTGGAAGACGGGCTGTGGTATAACCCAGTGCCAACACCAGTACCACCACCACTGGAGGACGGGCTGTGGTATAACCCAGTGCCAACACCAGTACCACCACCACTGGAGGACGGGCTGTGGTATAACCCAGTGCCAACACCAGTACCACCACCACTGGAGGACGGGCTGTGGTATAACCCAGTGCCAACACCAGTACTACCACCACTGGAGGACGGGCTGTGGTATAACCCAGTGTCAACACCAGTACCACCAACACTGGAGGACGGCCTGGGGTATAACCCAGTGTCAACACCAGTACCACCACCACTGGAGGACGGGCTGTGGTATAACCCAGTGTCAACACCAATACTACCAACACTGGAGGACGGCCTGGGGTATAACCCAGTGTCAACACCAGTACCACCACCACTGGAGGACGGCCTGTGGTATAACCCAGTGCCAACACCAGTACCACCAACACTGGTTCACCACAACTGTAAATTGTCATCTTGTAGAGCACTCTGATCCAGTCCAATTATTTGACCTGTTATGATATTCGTGACCTATTATGTGACCTACTATATAACCACTTATGTGAGGCTGCAGCCGTCCCGCCACTCATGGGGAAGACGGGGTCGCTGATACACCATGTTACACATCACTTAGTTTAATCAAATGTGAATAGACTTTAAGAGCCCAAGTTAAGGAACTGTGAAATCTCTCACTTGCTGAGAGCCGTGTGAACTTTAGGGGTTCACCTCCTGAGCCTATTATGTCTCTCTGTAACCTTTTACTTTAACCCATAAGAAGGGTATGGGGGCCACTACTACTCACAGGATGGATATAGGGTCGTCTACCACTCATGGGATGGGTATATGGTCCACTACCACTCACAGGATGGGTATGGGTCCACTACCACTCACAGGATGGGTAAGGGGTTCACTACCACTCACAGGATGGGTAAGGGGATCTACTACCACTCACAGCATGGGTATGGGGTCCACTACTACTCACAGGATGGATATAGGGTCGTCTACCACTCATGGGATGGGTATATGGTCCACTACCACTCACAGGATGGGTATGGGTCCACTACCACTCACAGGATGGGTAAGGGGTTCACTACCACTCACAGGATGGGTAAGGGGATCTACTACCACTCACAGCATGGGTATGGGGTCCACTACTACTCACAGGATGGAGATAGGGTCGTCTACCACTCACGGGATGGGTATATGGTCCACTACCACTCACAGGATGGGTATGGGGGTCCACTACCACTCACAGGATGGGTATAGGGTTCACTACCACTCACAGGATGGGTATGGGGTCCACTACCACTCACAGGATGGGTAGAGGGTTCACTACCACTCACAGGATGGGTATGGGGTCCACTACCACTCACAGGATGGGTATGGGTCCACTACCACTCACAGGATGGGTAAGGGGTCCACTACCACTCACAGGATGGGTATGGGGTCCACTACTACTCACAGGATGGGTATGGGGTCCACTAACACTCATAGGATGGGTAAGGGGTCCACTACCACTCACAGGATGGGTATGGAGTCCACTACCACTCACAGGATGGGTATGGGGTCCACTACCACTCACAGGATTGGTAAGGGGGCCCACTACACTCATAGGATGGGTATGGGGTCCACTACCACTCACAGGATGGGTATGGGGTCCACTACCACTCACAGGATGGGTATGGGGTCCACTACCACTCACAGGATGGGTATGGGGTCTACTACCACTCACAGGATGGGTAAGAGGTCCACTACCACTCACAGGATGGGTATGGGGTCCACTACCACTCACAGGATGGGTATGGGGTCCACTACCACTCACAGGATGGGTATGGGGTCCACTACCACTCACAGGATGGGTAAGAGGTCCACTACCACTCACAGGATGGGTATGGGGTCCACTACCACTCACAGGATGGGTATGGGGTCCACTACCACTCACAGGATGGGTATGGAGTCCACTACCACTCACAGGATGGGTATGGGGTCCACTGCCACTCACAGGATGGGTATGGGGTTCACTACCACTCACAGGATGGGTATGGGGTTCACTACCACTCACAGGATGGGTACACAGGATGCATCATGCTATGTTCATGACCTAGGTGTTATGTAATATACTATACCTATAGTTAAGCCTCACCTAGTTGTGCTTGCGAGGGTTCAGCTTTGGTTCTTTGGTCCCGCCTCTCAACTGTCAATCAACTGGTGTACAGATTCCTGAGCCTACTGGGCTCTATCATATCTACATTTGAAACTGTGTATGGAGTCACCCTCCACCACATCACTGCCTAATGCATTCCATCTGTTAAATTAACTACTCTGACAGTAATAAAGTTCTTTCTAATGTCTCAAAGCTTAATGCTCATGTGCTGGAGCTTTAGAGCATCACTTTATATAATTAACTTTAATTCTATTCTGATTGTTAAGGGCTGGCGTGCCAGGCCTGATTGGCAGAGTTGATATTTGGGCCTACCGTGTCAGGCCCAACTTCCATAGTCTCTTCATTGTTAGGGGCTGCCGTGTCAGGCCTAGCGTTAAGGGCTACAGTGTCGAAGGTGAAGCCAGCTTCACATTTGAAAACAAAATACTGTATTAGCAACATAATATACGTCTTGAACTTCGGCTAATGCATGGAAAGTTTAAGCAACTGAACAGTTTCCTGTTTCAGTGAAATCGAGTTTCTGGTGTAATATTGGGCTTAAGTCCTAACACAGTCGAGAGAACCATTAGCTAACTGACCAACCAGCACGTGTACTCACAAGACAAACGTAAACTCACAGTATAAATGCACTGAGAAGCGGGGAAAGTACCAATATGTAGTGATGGACCACCAGAAAGTACCAATATGTAGTGATGGACCACCAGAAAGTACCAATATGTAGTGATGGACCACCATAAAGTACCAATATGTAGTGATGGACCACCAGAAAGTACCAATATGTAGTGATGGACCACCATAAAGTACCAATATGTAGTGATGGACCACCATAAAGTACCAATATGTAGTGATGGACCACCATATGTACCAATATGTAGTGATGGACCACCAGAAAGTACCAATATGTAGTGATGGACCACCAAGTAAGTACCAATATGTAGTGATGGACCACCAGAAAGTACCAATATGTAGTGATGGACCACCATAAAGTACCAATATGTAGTGATGGACCACCATAAAGTACCAATATGTAGTGATGGACCACCATAAAGTACCAATATGTAGTGATGGACCACCAGAAAGTACCAATATGTAGTGATGGACCACCAATAAAGTACCAATATGTAGTGATGGACCACCAATATGAAAGTACCAATATGTAGTGATGGACCACCAGAAAGTACCAATATGTAGTGATGGACCACCAGTAAAGTACCAATATGTAGTGATGGACCACCATAAAGTACCAATATGTAGTGATGGACCACCAGAAAGTACCAATATGTAGTGATGGACCACCATAAAGTACCAATATGTAGTGATGGACCACCAGAAAGTACTAATATGTAGTGATGGGACCACCATAAAGTACCAATATGTAGTGATGGACCACCATAAAGTACCAATATGTAGTGATGGACCACCAGAAAGTACCAATATGTAGTGATGGACCACCAGAAAGTACCAATATGTAGTGATGGACCACCAGAAAGTACCAATATGTAGTGATGGACCACCATAAAGTACCAATATGTAGTGATGGACCACCATAAAGAAAGTACCAATATGTAGTGATGGACCACCATAAAGTACCAATATGTAGTGATGGGCCACCATAAAGTACCAATATGTAGTGATGGACCACCAGAAAGTACCAATATGTAGTGATGGACCACCATAAAGTACCAATATGTAGTGATGGACCACCATAAAGTACCAATATGTAGTGATGGACCACCAGAAAGTACCAATATGTAGTGATGGACCACCATAAAGTACCAATATGTAGTGATGGACCACCAGAAAGTACCAATATGTAGTGATGGACCACCAGAAAGTACCAATATGTAGTGATGGACCACCAGAAAGTACCAATATGTAGTGATGGACCACCAGAAAGTACCAATATGTAGTGATGGACCACCATAAAGTACCAATATGTAGTGATGGACCACCAGAAAGTACCAATATGTAGTGATGGACCACCAGAAAGTACCAATATGTAGTGATGGACCACCAGAAAGTACCAATATGTAGTGATGGACCACCAGAAAGTACCAATATGTAGTGATGGACCACCAGAAAGTACCAATATGTAGTGATGGACCACCAGAAAGTACCAATATGTAGTGATGGACCACCAGAAAGTACCAATATGTAGTGATGGACCACCAGAAAGTACCAATATGTAGTGATGGACCACCAGAAAGTACCAATATGTAGTGATGGACCACCAGAAAGTACCAATATGTAGTGATGGACCACCAGAAAGTACCAATATGTAGTGATGGACCACCAGAAAGTACCAATATGTAGTGATGGACCACCAGAAAGTACCAATATGTAGTGATGGACCACCAGAAAGTACCAATATGTAGTGATGGACCACCAGAAAGTACCAATATGTAGTGATGGACCACCAGTAAAGTACCAATATGTAGTGATGGACCACCAGAAAGTACCAATATGTAGTGATGGACCACCAGAAAGTACCAATATGTAGTGATGGACCACCAATATGTAATGGACCACCAGAAAGTACCAATATGTAGTGATGGACCACCAGAAAGTACCAATATGTAGTGATGGACCACCAGAAAGTACCAATATGTAGTGATGGACCACCAGAAAGTACCAATATGTAGATGATGGACCACCAGAAAGTACCAATATGTAGTGATGGACCACCAGAAAGTACCAATATGTAGTGATGGACCACCAGAAAGTACCAATATGTAGTGATGGACCACCAGAAAGTACCAATATGTAGTGATGGACCACCAGAAAGTACCAATATGTAGTGATGGACCACCAGAAAGTACCAATATGTAGTGATGGACCACCAGAAAGTACCAATATGTAGTGATGGACCACCAGAAAGTACCAATATGTAGTGATGGACCACCAGAAAGTACCAATATGTAGTGATGGACCACCAGAAAGTACCAATATGTAGTGATGGACCACCAGAAAGTACCAATATGTAGTGATGGACCACCAGAAAGTACCAATATGTAGTGATGGACCACCAGAAAGTACCAATATGTAGTGATGGACCACCAGAAAGTACCAATATGTAGTGATGGACCACCAGAAAGTACCAATATGTAGTGATGGACCACCAGAAAGTACCAATATGTAGTGATGGACCACCAGAAAGTACCAATATGTAGTGATGGACCACCAGAAAGTACCAATATGTAGTGATGGACCACCAGAAAGTACCAATATGTAGTGATGGACCACCAGAAAGTACCAATATGTAGTGATGGACCACCAGAAAGTACCAATATGTAGTGATGGACCACCAGAAAGTACCAATATGTAGTGATGGACCACCAGAAAGTACCAATATGTAGTGATGGACCACCAGAAAGTACCAATATGTAGTGATGGACCACCAGAAAGTACCAATATGTAGTGATGGACCACCAGAAAGTACCAATATGTAGTGATGGACCACCAGAAAGTACCAATATGTAGTGATGGACCACCAGAAAGTACCAATATGTAGTGATGGACCACCAGAAAGTACCAATATGTAGTGATGGACCACCAGAAAGTACCAATATGTAGTGATGGACCACCAGAAAGTACCAATATGTAGTGATGGATGGACCACCAGAAAGTACCAATATGTAGTGATGGACCACCAGAAAGTACCAATATGTAGTGATGGACCACCAGAAAGTACCAATATGTAGTGATGGACCACCAGAAAGTACCAATATGTAGTGATGGACCACCAGAAAGTACCAATATGTAGTGATGGACCACCAGAAAGTACCAATATGTAGTGATGGACCACCAGAAAGTACCAATATGTAGTGATGGACCACCAGAAAGTACCAATATGTAGTGATGGACCACCAGAAAGTACCAATATGTAGTGATGGACCACCAGAAAGTACCAATATGTAGTGATGGACCACCAGAAAGTACCAATATGTAGTGATGGACCACCAGAAAGTACCAATATGTAGTGATGGACCACCAGAAAGTACCAATATGTAGTGATGGACCACCAGAAAGTACCAATATGTAGTGATGGACCACCAGAAAGTACCAATATGTAGTGATGGACCACCAGAAAGTACCAATATGTAGTGATGGACCACCAGAAAGTACCAATATGTAGTGATGGACCACCAGAAAGTACCAATATGTAGTGATGGACCACCAGAAAGTACCAATATGTAGTGATGGACCACCAGAAAGTACCAATATGTAGTGATGGACCACCAGAAAGTACCAATATGTAGTGATGGACCACCAGAAAGTACCAATATGTAGTGATGGACCACCAGAAAGTACCAATATGTAGTGATGGACCACCAGAAAGTACCAATATGTAGTGATGGACCACCAGAAAGTACCAATATGTAGTGATGGACCACCAGAAAGTACCAATATGTAGTGATGGACCACCAGAAAGTACCAATATGTAGTGATGGACCACCAGAAAGTACCAATATGTAGTGATGGACCACCAGAAAGTACCAATATGTAGTGATGGACCACCAGAAAGTACCAATATGTAGTGATGGACCACCAGAAAGTACCAATATGTAGTGATGGACCACCAGAAAGTACCAATATGTAGTGATGGACCACCAGAAAGTACCAATATGTAGTGATGGACCACCAGAAAGTACCAATATGTAGTGATGGACCACCAGAAAGTACCAATATGTAGTGATGGACCACCAGAAAGTACCAATATGTAGTGATGGACCACCAGAAAGTACCAATATGTAGTGATGGACCACCAGAAAGTACCAATATGTAGTGATGGACCACCAGAAAGTACCAATATGTAGTGATGGACCACCAGAAAGTACCAATATGTAGTGATGGACCACCAGAAAGTACCAATATGTAGTGATGGACCACCAGAAAGTACCAATATGTAGTGATGGACCACCAGAAAGTACCAATATGTAGTGATGGACCACCAGAAAGTACCAATATGTAGTGATGGACCACCAGAAAGTACCAATATGTAGTGATGGACCACCAGAAAGTACCAATATGTAGTGATGGACCACCAGAAAGTACCAATATGTAGTGATGGACCACCAGAAAGTACCAATATGTAGTGATGGACCACCAGAAAGTACCAATATGTAGTGATGGACCACCAGAAAGTACCAATATGTAGTGATGGACCACCAGAAAGTACCAATATGTAGTGATGGACCACCAGAAAGTACCAATATGTAGTGATGGACCACCAGAAAGTACCAATATGTAGTGATGGACCACCAGAAAGTACCAATATGTAGTGATGGACCACCAGAAAGTACCAATATGTAGTGATGGACCACCAGAAAGTACCAATATGTAGTGATGGACCACCAGAAAGTACCAATATGTAGTGATGGACCACCAGAAAGTACCAATATGTAGTGATGGACCACCAGAAAGTACCAATATGTAGTGATGGACCACCAGAAAGTACCAATAAAGTACCAATATGTAGTGATGGACCACCAGAAAGTACCAATATGTAGTGATGGACCACCAGAAAGTACCAATATGTAGTGATGGACCACCAGAAAGTACCAATATGTAGTGATGGACCACCAGAAAGTACCAATATGTAGTGATGGACCACCAGAAAGTACCAATATGTAGTGATGGACCACCAGAAAGTACCAATATGTAGTGATGGACCACCAGAAAGTACCAATATGTAGTGATGGACCACCAGAAAGTACCAATATGTAGTGATGGACCACCAGAAAGTACCAATATGTAGTGATGGACCACCAGAAAGTACCAATATGTAGTGATGGACCACCAGAAAGTACCAATATGTAGTGATGGACCACCAGAAAGTACCAATATGTAGTGATGGACCACCAGAAAGTACCAATATGTAGTGATGGACCACCAGAAAGTACCAATATGTAGTGATGGACCACCAGAAAGTACCAATATGTAGTGATGGACCACCAGAAAGTACCAATATGTAGTGATGGACCACCAGAAAGTACCAATATGTAGTGATGGACCACCAGAAAGTACCAATATGTAGTGATGGACCACCAGAAAGTACCAATATGTAGTGATGGACCACCAGAAAGTACCAATATGTAGTGATGGACCACCAGAAAGTACCAATATGTAGTGATGGACCACCAGAAAGTACCAATATGTAGTGATGGACCACCAGAAAGTACCAATATGTAGTGATGGACCACCAGAAAGTACCAATATGTAGTGATGGACCACCAGTAAGTACCAATATGTAGTGATGGACCACCAGAAAGTACCAATATGTAGTGATGGACCACCAGAAAGTACCAATATGTAGTGATGGACCACCAGAAAGTACCAATATGTAGTGATGGACCACCAGAAAGTACCAATATGTAGTGATGGACCACCAGAAAGTACCAATATGTAGTGATGGACCACCAGAAAGTACCAATATGTAGTGATGGACCACCAGAAAGTACCAATATGTAGTGATGGACCACCAGAAAGTACCAATATGTAGTGATGGACCACCAGAAAGTACCAATATGTAGTGATGGACCACCAGAAAGTACCAATATGTAGTGATGGACCACCAGAAAGTACCAATATGTAGTGATGGACCACCATAAAGTACCAATATGTAGTGATGGACCACCAGAAAGTACCAATATGTAGTGATGGACCACCAGAAAGTACCAATATGTAGTGATGGACCACCAGAAAGTACCAATATGTAGTGATGGACCACCAGAAAGTACCAATATGTAGTGATGGACCACCAGAAAGTACCAATATGTAGTGATGGACCACCAGAAAGTACCAATATGTAGTGATGGACCACCAGAAAGTACCAATATGTAGTGATGGACCACCAGAAAGTACCAATATGTAGTGATGGACCACCAGAAAGTACCAATATGTAGTGATGGACCAAAACGTCGCAGCCCATTCTCAGGCTCCAAGCTGAGGTCGACCCCATAGATGTACTGTGTAACTAAGCTGACGTCGACCCCATAGACGTACTGTGTAACTAATCTGAGGTCGACCCCATGTACGCACTGTGTAACTAAGCTTGGTAACTTTGTAACTTGGCGTATTGGAGTTATACCCTTAGGGAGGTCAGGTATATAATACAAATAGGAGAGAAGTACATCGTAAAGGAAGAAATAGGGCAAGAATGGGGGTCGGATAGGGGACGTAAATAGGGACGAAACACATACAAAGATTAATCAGGTGTAGTGGGCGTGGCATGTTGAGCAGTGTCTTCTATGCTGGCATCTTCGCGTTCCTTTTTGGTCCTGACTCTCATGGTGGGTAGAGTGAATAGTTCCGTAATTTGGATATTTATGGTGAGTTGTTCTGTTTTTATGTGGATAACTTCAAGAATTTGTAATCTTCTTACATCTTGGGCTGTGTCTTTTACACAAGTGTTTTTTTGTTCAACATTTCTCTTGTTAGGGCGATGTCATGACCTTGATTTTTTTATTGACTCCTCGTCTGGATAAAGAGGAGTATTGAGCCTAAATTTAGAGCATCATTATGTATTATTTGAATGTGTTGGTGGTAATTTATTGATCAGTACATATACGAGGGTTAGTGACTAGCTTGTGAAGTAATAGTAATTATTGAGACAACTTGTCTATGATGGATGGCTGATGTAGACATGACAACTGGTAGCCAAAGCCACGGGCAACAGCTAGAGCCAAGCAGTGGATGTTGTTGTTGTTGTTGTTGAAGATTCAGCAACTCGGAATAAAATTTCCAAGTAGCACGGGCTATGGTGAGCCCGTTGTGGAATTTAGCAGTTGATGTTGAGACTTTGAATAGCTCAGATGCCTGTTGCAGCATGCTGCTATGACCACTTAACTATGCTATTCCTGTTGATGTATGTGGTTTATAAGTCATTGTTTATTAATAAAGACATAACCTCTATTTCATATGTAAATTGTGTAGGAACTATTTATTAACTTATGTGTTGTTAATCAGTTAACTAAAAGTGTTTCCACCAATTATAATAATTTTACCTCGGCTTAATTGTTACCTTATTGGGATAACTGGCAAGATAATATGTGTTGTACATCTTGCCCAGTAGTTCCTCCATATTGGAGTAGGGAAGCTTGATGGTATTTATTAAAGTAAACTACCCACCCAGTAGCCTGTATACAATGATGAACTATATATTATAAAATACTTATTAACTAAGACACATTTATTCAGCAAAATGCTGGAGTTGGTGCTGGTGTTTGCATGAAGGTAATTAGTACTATTAATGCTCTCAGTCTTATAAAAGTCCCAAGGAGAGCATTATGATGGGGTGCAGGAGTACTGAGTCGGGGTTCATCAAGTCCAACAGATCCAAGAAGATCCAACAAGTCCAAGTTCAACAGATCCACTTACCATATTTCTCCATTTTTCCTCAGTCATGGCGGCTTTGTAAACATTTAATGAACTGATTGCAAGGTCAAACATCACAATACAAAGTTATGATTGTTATAAACACCCTCGTAGTGCTTCTAAATTATTTAATAAATGTAACAACAGCCACATGATTGTTGACACATGTACAGATTTCATACTTTGGATCTGGAACACAACATGTATAGTACTGGACCATGTATACCATGCCATAAGTGTTCCTCATCCTTCTTTTCCAGCGAGATATTGCCCTCACGCACTAAGATATTACCACAAAGTGCCCCACATTACCTGACCCATGGTGTAGTTGGCGACGATGAGTCCGGTGCCATAGGTGCCACCAGCCTCGTTGTCCCGGGGCTGAGGGTCGGCCCAGTTGTCGCCACACACGCCACACTGCCCGTCGTTCTCCACATACTGCACCTGTGTGGACGAGACGCCAATGTTGCGTAAGGTAGTTCTGGTGCAAAGTGTACCGTCCGTCCTCACGCTATGCTCGTTCAAGCTGCTGCCAATCACGAAAACGGATTTATCAATATCAACATGTGACCAGAACTGGCGTTGTCTCTATTATAAAGTATTATTATAATGTTTTTATATTATTTGTATAGCTAGACCTAGGGTAGGTTAGATCAAGTATATGAGATGAAGCATTTAGAGATGTGCATTTCGAGCATATTCAAACGGTTAATATTTTGTGGTTCTCTGCCATGTTGGATGCCGTGATGGTTCTACTCTCTCTCATTAATCACCAGGAATATGAACCACGTAAAAGCTGAGACCTCAGTCACTGTCATTTGGAAAACCACTGGATAGCCAGACCAGCTCCGGATAGCCCTGAAGACATGAGGGCCCAGCTGTGAGGTGGACATGAGGGCCCAGCTGTGAGGTGGACATGAGGGCCCAGCTGTGAGGTGGACATGAAGGCCCAGCTGTGAGGTGGACATGAGGGCCCAACTGTGAGGTGGACATGAAGGCCCAACTGTGAGGTGTTCACTTACTCCGACGCCGCCACAGAAGAGCGCATTGTCGTCGTAATTGATGGGGGTGTCGAAGCCCTTCCTCCAGGCGGAGGAGCGAGAGACTGGCTCCATCAGCCGCCCGTGGCTCTCCACCCATCCTGACGCCCACAGCGCCACCACGCCCACCCACAACACCTTGCTGTCCAACCCCATCACCGCTGACCGAAGGCTCTACAGACAGTCACAACAGAAAAGTATTCTGGCTAAGAGGTAAGCTAGGCTAGTATTTATATCTGCGGCGGAAGGTAGAATGAGGTCAGGGGACCCAAGGGTTGCCGTGGCAGGCACGTCAGGTCCACTGAGCCCCTGGGGACACCTGTCGGGTCCCACGCACCGAGGACAACCTGGGGCCGCGTCAGGTGATCAACACTACTAACCTTCCCAGAATCATTATGAATAACAATAATAAACTTATAATATTGTGTTTTTGTTAATATAATGGATTACGGTGATCGGATACGCCTTGTCTACCAGTAAATATTGTGCGTTGCGCAGATAGTGTTGGACTGAAGCTAAATAGCGGCCATATTGGAATAACCTATTGATACCTCTGGGAGTGTTTAAGACCTTCACTGTGCTTGTGAGAACACTAAAGGCATGCGTGGCAGCTCTTATTCATTAACGAACACATACACACACACACAATAGGCTCAGGAACCTATACACCTGTTGATTGACGGTTGAGAGGAGGGACCAAAGAGCCGAAGCTAAACCTTCGTAAGTACAACTAGGTGAGTACATTTCTTTCATTCCTCATGAGATTCATTCCTCTCAATGTTAGTGTTGCAGAAATAATGCAAAACAACCCAAGTGCCAAGGCCGCTTTAGAGGCAACAGCCATGAGAGCAGCAACCTCGCAGGAAGCTGCAAAATGCACTGAACAAATGCTGGAATGGAAAAGAACAGTTATAATTGTAGGTATACAGGAACCAGAAGGATCCACTCGGGAGGAGTGGAGAAGAAGGGACCGAGCAACTATGACAGAGATCTTGGAGAGACTGGATATGGAGGAGGCTAATGGCAACACAGAGAAAGTTTTCAGGCTGGGCGTCTACAAGAAGGAAAGGAAACGACTGATAAAGGTAGTGCTCATGAACAAGGCAACAAAAGAGAAAATCCTCTCCAGGAAGAGCAGACTTATGAGGTTGGGGGAATACGAGGACGTCTTTCTGAAAAGTGACATGACGAGGGAAGAAAGAAGGAAGGCTGCAAAAGCAAGTAGGAGACACAAAGAAAGGGTTGGGAATATGGGAGCCACAGAACTCGGCTCAATATCTCCAGGAACCTCAGAGTGGAGTGGGAATCCCCTCATCAGCTGTACAGTACCCCCAGGGAGGATTGTAACAGAAGCCTCCCACCATCCAACCCCACAGCCGTCCCCCACCAATCACCTGCACCTCCCCAGACATTAAAGCCCTTCTTTAGATCATGCCTCCCATGTTCCCTGACCCCAGGTTCCCCATGCTCCCCCCCCCCCATGCCCTTCTTTTTCCTCAATCCCTTCCCCAGGTCCTTACTGTTCCCACACCCCATGCACTCCCATGTTTCTCCAGCCCATGCCCTTCCCAGTTCTCCCACCCCAAGCTCTCCTTAATACCCAACCCCCTCTCCCTCCCGACTCCCACTTCCCAAGGCTCCCCTCCCCTCCCCAACCTCTGACCTCCCTGCCAACCCACCCCAGTCTCCCCTGCATACCCCAACCCGTGACCTTCCACCATATGCCCCTCCTGCTCCCCCATCTCGTGCCCCTCCTGCTCCCCCATCTCATGCCCTAATTAACCTCCAGCTCCAGACCCTCTCAGCCACATCACCTAAGATCCTCCTAGCCTCCATGTAGAGATCCTCCCAGCTTCCCCTCCCCCCCCCCACACACCCCAGATCCCCCAGACCCTCCCACCCCAGACACCTCTTGCCCCTCCAACTCCAATGGAATCAACAGAAACTGAGAATGGACAGAAGAGAGCCAGCTTCAAGGTAATGTACTTGAACATAGATGGGATTGCAAGCAAGACAAGTGAACTCAGGAAAAGAGCACAAGAAGTACCTCCAGATGTAATTGGACTCACAGAAACAAAACTCTCAGGAATCATAACAAATGTGGTGTTTCTCCAGGACTACACTGTAATAAAGAGAGGGAAGGAAGTGGAGGAGGCAGAGTGATTCTACTGATGAGAAAGGGATGGACACTACACACACAAATCACAATAGCGTGTGCATCAAATAAACAAATCCACATGGGCCGGTTCGAACCCTCGTCATGGCCCTTGTGGATTTGTTTAAAGGAATGGAGTTTCGAGGAGTTGGTTATTCCGGGCTACGAAGGGTTCAGGGACTTCATAACAGGACCATGACGATGGGAGGACCAAGAGTAGTAGTATCAGTTTATATAACTCACCACTAAATGAAAGAAGACCCAGGCAAGAGTTTGATAGAAACAACATGGCAGTTAACGCTATAATTAAGAGAGCAGCCGCTGCTGCCTGTAGAAATCGATCTCATCTACTCAAAATAGGGGTCTTTAATCATGGAAGGATAGACTGGGAAAACAAGGACCACATGGAGGTGAGGAAACATGGAGAGCGAAACTGTTGGAGGTGACGACTAGAAACTTTTTAAGTCAGCATGTCAAGGGTCCCACAAGAATGAGAGGCAATGATGAACCAGCAAGACCCGACCTAGTATTCACTCTGAACGAATCAGACATAAAAGAAATCGGTCTTGAAGCCCCCGTGTGTATGAGTGATCACAGTGTACTATTGTTTGAGTATCTGGCCGAAGAAGGCTTAATGTACTCAAGGAAGGAACCAGAAAGCAAGAGGCTGGCATTCCGGAAGGGAAACTATGAGGAGATGAGAAAATTCCTAATTAATTCGTCCCAGTCCAAAAGGAAAAAAAGGAAATGCAGACGAGAAACCCATTGTTTAATCAGATATGTAAGTAAATAAGTAAAAGGGCGTGGAGAAACTATAGAAACAGCAGAACACTAGAGAGAAGAGAAAGATGCCAGAGAGTCAGAACACGTCAAGGTGAGAAGAGTAGTAATGCGGTAGTAGTAGTAGAATGCACTGAATACGTCAAGTAGTGCATTCCATTTACTAACTACTCTGACACTGAAAAGTTCTTTCTTATGTTTCTATGGCTCATTTGGGTACTCAGCATCCACCTGTGTCCCCTTGCACGTGTGCCACCCATGTTAAATAATCCATCCTTGTCTACCCTGTCAATTCTCCTTGTATGTCGTGATCATGTCTCCCCGAGGCCTTCTGTCTTCCAGCGACGTAAGGTGCAGTTCCCTCAGCCGTTCCTCATAACTCATGCCTCTTAGTTCTGGGACTAGCCTAGTGGCATACCACTGAACTTTTTCCAGCTTTATCTTGTGCTTGACAAGGTACGGGCTCCATGCTGGGGCCGCATACTCCAGGATTGGTCTTACATATGTGATATACAAGGTTCTGAGGGATTCCTTACACAGGGGTCTGAAAGCAGTTCTGAGGTTAGTCACCCTTTCATACGCCGCCGATGTTATTCTTTTGATGTGGGCTTCAAGAGACAGGTTTGGCATGATATCAACTCCTAGATCTTTCTCTGTTCGTTTCGTGATGGACTTCATCTCCCACTCGGTATCCAGTGTCTGGCCTCCTATTTCCTCCGCCTAGTTTCATCACCTCACATTTACTTGGGTAGAACTTTAGTAGCCATTTGTTAGACCGTTCATTTAGTTTTTCTAGGTCATCTTGTAGCCTTATACTATCTTCCTCTGTCTTACTCCTCCTCAAAATCTTTGTATCATCAGCAAACAATGAGAGGAACGATTCTATACCCTCTGGGAGATCATTTACATATATCAGAGACATTATAGGTGCAAGGACTAAACCCTGTGGGACTCCACTGGTGACGTCTCGCCAATTTGACACCTCACAGTGACTCGCTATCTTCTGTTCCTTAGGTCTTCCCTTATCCAGACGGGTATCTTCCCTTTCACTTCCGTCTGCAACTCCAGCTTGTGCACTGGTCTCTTATGTGGTACTGTGTCCAAGGCTTTCTGGCAATCCACTAATATGCAGTCTGCCCAGCTCTCTCTCTATCTTGTCAAATTTGTATTGCCTTGTCGTAGAATTCAATTAATATTGTGAGGCATGATTTGCCATCCCTAAACCCATGTTGATATTGTGTTACAAAGTTCTTTTGCTCCAGATGTTCCACTAGTTTTTTCGCACAATCTTTTCCATCATCTTGCATGGTATGCAAGCTAGGGTCACTGGCCTGTAGTTCAGTGCTTCCTGTCTATCACCCTTCTTGTATATTGCGATTACATTGACCGTCTTGCAAACTTTTGGCAGTTCACCTGTTACCAGTGATTTGTTGTACACCATGGATAGTGACAGGCACAGAGCTTCTGCTCCTTCCTTTAGTACCCATAGTGTGATTACTTCCGGGCCTATGGCCTTTGTCACATCCAAATCTAGCAGATGCTCCTTCCCCTCCCTGGGGAGGGGAAGAAGTGTGTGTGTAGGGTGTGCGTGGAATGTGTGTATGTGGGGTGTGCGTGTGTACTCAGAAGTGCTTTCAGGGTCGAGCGAGACTGATGGGCCCTCCTTGCGAACATTCTTAGATTACGGCAATGATTCATTTCTCACGCTTTTATCATATCTATAAGTAAAAATGTAAATGTTCGTTTGTTCAAAATCGTTAATTTCCGAAAGTTTTTCACCGATTGCTTTGAAATGTTCACACAATGTTGCATTCGCATCCGAGCGGGTTTTTATATTAATACTATGTCACGTCTGTGACGGGAAAAAACAAGTTTTTTTTTTTAAACTGTGTTTATCATGTGTTTGTCATGTGAGGGAAATCTTCGAAAATTCTTTATCGATTGCTTTAGAATTTTGACACAATGTTCCATTCGAATATGTGCGTGTTTTTATATACCAACTATATAGATGCCACACCTGTGACTGGAAAAAAACATGGTATTTTGAAAAACAACACCATATGTTACAAATAATAGCAACACATGCTATATTAAATATGTTACGATTTCATTCCAATGTTTCCAATTGCATTGATAAATTGAATTTTAATAGATTTCGATTTATTTTCATTTTGATTTAATTATTTTGTGTGACATTGCATCAGAATTGAACTGCGTTGTTTTCCATACCATTCATTAAGTAAGTATAATTATAGATGCAACACCTGTGACAGGTAAAAACATTCTTCTTTTAAGAAACA